AGGCTGCTTCTAAGATTTAGCTATTGTGAGTTGTGCTGGTATAAATATGGATATGCATTATCAGTGAAAGATATCTTTAACTCTTTTGAGAAGATACTAAGAAAGGGAATACCTGGGATTTCTATCTGGACATGGTGCCACATGCCTCTAATCCCAGCACTCTGGAGGCTGAGTCAGGAAGCTCCCTATGAGTTCAAGGTCAGCATGCCTCCATAGTGATTTCTAGGCCAGCCTGAACTACATAACAAGACCTTGTCTCCACAACAAAAAGAACTCAATAAACTATCTCATATATTTTGTTATAGTAATATAAAGGTAACTAACAATAGCTATGTGCCATCAAATAAGAGGTTCCCCCCCCACCAGCCTTGTCCACATTTGATATCCTTGTTTGTTTGTTTGTTTGTTTGTTTTGGTATGGGGGATCAAAGATCATCTGCCTATTTGATATCTTGATGATAGCCATTTTTTCTAAAGCAAAATGGAATCTTAAGTTTTGTTTTGTTTTTTTTGAGATAGCATCTCACTGTGTAGTACAGACTGCTCTGGAACTCACTGTGTAGCCCAGGCTGGTCTTGAACTCCCAGTGATCCTCCTGCCTCAGCCTCCCGAGTGCTGGGATTACAGGCATGTGCCACTATGCCCGGCTTTTTAAAAATTAATTAATTAATTAATTTATTTATTTATTCCGAAACAGTCTCACTGTGTAGTCCAGGCTGGCTTCAAACTCAGTATGTAGCCCAGGCTAGCCTTGAACTCATGGTGATCTTCCTGCCTCAGTTTCCTGAGTGCTAAGATTATAGGCACACACCACCACACAGGGCTTTCAGTGTTGTTGTTTTTTTACTTGTATTTCTTAGGACTGGGGATTGAACTCAGTGGCACTGTGCTTACCTTGCAAGCACAAGGTCCTGAGTTCAATCCCCAGTACCACCAAAAAAAAAAAAAAAACCTTTCTCTAACAGCCAGAGATGCTGAACATTTGAACATTTTTTTCATGTATTTGTTGGCCATTTTGATGTACTTCAGTTGTGTAGCTGTCTCTGGTGACAGATTTAATTAAATTAGCCCAAATGAGCTGGGCGTGGTGGTGCACGTCTGTAATCCAGCACCCGGGAGGCTGAGGCAGGAGGATCACTGTGAGTCTGAGACCAGCCTGGGCTACATAGTGAGTTCCAAGTCAGTGTCACCTACATAGTGAGACCCTGTCTCAAAAAACCAAAAAAAAAATTTTTTTAATTCCAAATGAGATTACAGAGTAATAGGGAAAACAGACTTAGGGCTCCTAGTGATTCTGATTCATTGTGAATTGTAGAATTATTATATATTATAATAGAAATAAAGTGCGCAATAAATTCAGCCCTTGAATCACCCTGGATATCCAGTATCCACCACCCCCATCAGTAGAAAAATCGCTTCCCCCAAAACTTGTCATTGGTGCCAAAAAGGTTGGGGGCTGTTCTGTGGTTTCTGAATTTAGTTTTAAATAAAAAAAAAAAAAACATTGGGGGCATTGACCCTGAGCTACGTCCCAGCCCTTTTTTATTTTGCTGCAGGGGCTTGCTAAGTTGCCCAGGTTGGGCTCAAAGTTGGCATTCTGTCTAAGCTTCCCAGAGTGTTGGGATTATAGACATGTATGTAGCACTATGCCTTGTTTATTGTTTTGGTTTGTTTGTTTGTTTGTTTTTTAGACATGGTCTCACTATGTAGTTGAGACTGACCTGGAACTCACTAGGTAGCCCAGGCTGGTCTCGAACTCACTGCGATCCTCCTCAGCCTCAGCATCCTGAGTGCTGCCAGGCATGCGCCACCACACCCAGCTTGTTTTGGATTTTTTTTTTTTAAGACAGGGTCTTGCTATATGGTTTAGGCTGGTTTTAATATAGCCCAGGTTGATTTCAAACTCAGGGTGATACTCCTGCCTCAGCCTCCTGAGTTCTGGGATTACAAGTCTGTATCACACTGGTTTATGAATTTAAGGCCTTCAGTAGCAAATGATTTATGAGGTAATTATCATGATTTTCTCAGTACTTGTCTGGTTTAATGTTTTACATAATGATTTTTCAAGAGAAGAGGAAATTCAGATTTTTCACATCGTTGCTTCAGTTTTTAATGTAATAATGTATTAACTTTTTTTTTAATTTTTTGAGACAGGACCTTGCTCTGCTTTTTATTTAGGCTGGCCTTGAACTCATTAGGTAGTGCAGGAGGGCTTGGAATTCGCCAAGATCATTCTGCCTCATCCTCCTGAGTGTGTACACCACCACACCTGGTGGCAACTCTTGACTTTAGAATAAAAAAGTCAGAGCCATAGGGTGGCATCAAAATGAAATGATCTGGGGCCAGGGATGTGGCTCAGTGGTGCCATACCTGCTTGGCAAGCTCAAAGTCTTGAGTTCAATCCCAGTAGCACACACCCCAAAAAAAAAAAAAAAAGAGAGAGAGAGAGAGAAAGGAAAGAAAATATGGAAAACATGGTCTAGCTGGCTGGCAAGCTGTGTTGCTGTCTGTATATTTTAAAATTAATTTTATTGGTTCAATACATACATATATGTATATATATATATATGTATATAATGATCACATTCATCATAGGAATTTGTACTTGTACATAATATATTTTGATTCTTTTTTCCCATTCTCTTCCCTTCCCTTCAGCTCTGCTTCCCCTCATTTATAAAAGTGTTTCCATTTTTTCCTTCCATTTTTTTCCTTTCCCCTCTTCTCTTCTGCCTCCTTTCCTCCCTCCCTCCTCCCTTTTTCTCTTTCCCATTCAGATATTTTCTTCTTGCTTCCCAGTATCTATCATCTTTTTTGGTCCTTATTTACACTTTTGGTTTCTCACAAGAGAAACAATGTGACATTTAAACTTTTGTATTTGATTTATTTCACTTAAAAGTATGGTGTCTTGAGTTGGACATGGTGCTGCATACCTGTAATCCTGGGACTCGGGAGGCTGAGGCAGGAAGATGAGTTTGAGGCTAGTCTGTACTACAAAGTGAGGCCCTGTCTCAAAACCTCAAAAAGGTATGGTCTCAAGGTGCATCCATTTACCTAAAAATGTCTTGTCTATCCTGCTTTATGGCCGAGTAGTATTCCATTATATATAAAAGCCACATTTGCTTTATACATTCACCCATTGATGAGCATTTAGGCTGTTTCCAAAGTTTAGCTGTTACAAATTGTGCCTGCCATAATAAACATGAATGTGCATATATTGCTGTGATGTGATGCTTTTAACTCTTTCAGGAGTATACAAAGAAAGGGAATCAAATGGAATCCATCTAGTTTTAATTTTTTGAGCAGTCGCCATACTTATTTCCATATTGGCTATACCAATTTTCACTTCCACCCAAAGTGGAGAAGGGTTCCTTTTTCCCCTCAGCCCCTCCAGCATTTACTGATTTCTTGATGACAGCTGCTCTTTCTGAAGTGAGATGCAATCTCAGTGTTGTTTTTGTCCAGTGATCAGTGATATTGAACATTTTTTAATATATATTTTTTGCTATTTGTACTTCATCTGGTGTCTACTCATTTCAGATGCCCGTTTTTGGATTGGGTCTTTAAATTTGGGGGTCTTTTTTTTTTTTTGAGTTTTTGTATATTCTAGATATTAGTCCTTTGAAGAATAGCTAGTAAATTTTTTTCCTACACTGTGGATCATCTCTTCACTCTGGTTCTTTTTGGTGTGTATGTTTCTGTGTATATTTTGCTATGGGAACTGGGAGAAGGTAAGTTATGAAGATAAAATTGTCTAGCTCTTGAAATTTATAATATATTAAGGAAGAGTTTTCCAAAGAAGGGAATAATTTAGCTTTAATAACAGTACAGAGGTCACACTATGACAGTTGCCTTATTTGAGAGTTAGTTTATCCTTAGAAGTAGTACTCTGCCAGGCTGAGTCAGGTGGATCTTGAGTTCCAGCCCAGACTGTGCAATTTAGTGACACCCTGTCTCAAAATAAATAAAAAGGTCCTGAGATGTAGCTCAGTATGAAAGTTGTGGCTTCAATCCCCAGTGTCACCACCAACAAAAACAAAAACAACCCCACTAGAAAGCAGCTCTTACAGAATGGGTGATATATCTGAAAAATTGTTTTTGATTTGGGATGGAGGAATGGTACAGAGAGAAAAATGATACAGAAAGCTTTTCAATAGTGTGTGTTTTTTTGTTTTTGGGTTTTTTCCCCCCTTTTTTGTACAGGGATGGAACTCGGGGCCCTTGTGCTTGTGGGGCAGGCCACAGAACCACTGTTCCAAACCACCCCCACTTCCTGGGCCAGTAGTGTTTTGTTTTTTGTTACTGGGGATCGAACTCAGGACCTTGTTCTTGCCAGGCAGGCACAGAGCTGCGAAACTACATCCCCAGCCTTTGTGTGTGTGGTGTGTGTGTGTGCGTGCATGCGTGCGTGCCTGCGCTGGGGATCAAACTCAGGATCTTATACTTGTGAGGCAGGTGTGGTGTTACTGAGCTAAATCTCTGGCCCTGTTTGTTTGTTTCTTGAGACAGTGTTTCAAGTAGTTCTTGAACTCAATGTGTATCCCAGGCTGGCCTGGAAATTTTGTCAGGCAAGTCTAGAATAGTCTTTAGTGCTAATTTGGTTTTAGTGCTGAGGTAGTAACTCTCCCGCGGACTATACTTGATGCCCATGAACTGTTGCAGAGCAGTTTGTTTTTCTTGAGACAGGTCTCACTATGCAGGCCATGAACTTACTGTAGCCCAGGTTGGCCTTCAATTTGTGGTAACCCTCCTGCATCAGCCTCCTGAGTGCTAGTATTATAAGCATGCACCACCATACCCAGTTCCCTGTGACTAGATGTAAACATTGCTGGTAACTTTTCATTTCCAGTTTTGAGTGGGTAATATAAGTAAATCAATAATACTTGGTCTATATTGGGTGTTTAATAGATGGTAAAACTTTATTCTTTCATATTTTTCTTTATTTTCCAGCCTTAAAATAACCTCCATATTTACTATTTCCCCCTTTATTTTTCATATAGAATTGAAGATGCTCCTGCTCCTTCTACCTCTTCAGATAAAGTGGAAAGGTAAGATTATTTACATAGCACAGATTCATATAAACTAAGCAATATAAATTGTACAGCTAGTTTCATTTTATTGTTTTGTGGTTCTGAGGTTTGAACCCAGGGCTTTCAGCATGGAGGCAAGTGCTCTAACACTTAAGCTTCTGTGTGTGTGTGTGTGTGTGTGTGTGTGTGTGTGTGTACACACGTGTACTAGGGCCTTCATAT